AGCTTTTGAATATATGGGTATGTCGTTAATACAATAGATTCTGGAGCAGCAACATCTATAATTAATAAAAATCTATTTAACAGTGTTTTTAAGAAAAAAATAGATAGACATATAACATTGAAAACCATGAATTCAACAGCTTTGATAGATTCAAAAATAACCATTCCTCTGTTTAAAGAATTTAATTTACCGAATATTAACGTAAAAAGTTAGACAATAATTTTGATGGAATTATTGGTTGTAATATACTTAAACCATTAAAAGCGGAAATAGATTTTGAAAAACAAGAATTGATAACGGAAAATGGAACTTTAAAATTACTATTTGTTGACCACGTTGAGTCAAAAATAATAAAAACAGAGTTAGACAGTTTATGTTCTAAAATAATAGAAATTCAATTTCATAAACCAGATATTGAGTATATCACTGAAAATTTAAAAACCGATCATTTAAATAAAGAAGAAATAGAAAACCTTACAATTTTGATAAAGCGATTTAATTCAATTTTTTATAAAGAAGGTGACGATCTTACAACAACTGTTAGTAAATATCTACATACGATACCAGCTATTGTATTAACATTTTTATTGGTATGGTTTTAGTCATTATTATTATGAAGGGAAAAGATCTGTGGCTTGTGAGTGAAAATTGTCTGCCTTTATATTGTCAATTTCCATTTGTTCATCCCTTTGTAGTCTCACGTTGCTGGGATTCTTCCTGTTTATTGTTGTATTCGACATTTTAGTTTATGAGCTATTTTTGTAAATGTTAAGTGGTTCTCGTCTATGATACGTGGTTAGTTCCGGTGCCCGACAGTTTTGCATATTTCGAAAATTTCTATTGCTATTATTATGTAATGGATTTTGTTGGTCTAGTTGTTGTGTTCTTGAGCCTTTGTTAATGTAATTCACGTTTTTATACAAATAATTAGTTTCAATTAAAATTTCTTTAGCATCTATTAATGATTTTGGGCTCCTAGCATTAAGTATAAGTTTTGGTTCAAATGGTAATTTATTTATAAAAATTTTTAGAATCATTTTTTCATTCGAGACGTAGTCATACCAATTATTATTTATTTTCAAGGTTGGCTCTTAAGTTTAGATTAGTTAACTGCGCAACTAAATATTCGTAGAGGTCGTTAATGTTGGTCTTACATTCTGCGGCTTTTATTTTATTAACAATAGTCTCAATAGAGATCGAGCTCCTCAGCTTTGCCGTTAAATTCAGGAACATCCGCTAATAAATCGAAGGTGGTGTGGCGTGCCATGAAATAGCTGTTGGTCCTGTTAATTTTTCAATTTGAGCACTTCTTGTCTTATTTTTAAATAATATAATATTTTGTATTTTAGATATAATAGGAATAACACACTAGTATATTCCGATTTCGTTCTTTTTTTGCGACTGTGCCAATGAAATAAATTAAATAGAAAAAGATGTGTTTCTTTCTTTATTTCTTATTTTCAACTCACAATAATTCGTTTTTATTTTAGAAACATTTATTTAAAAACTAACTTAGATGAAAATGTAATTTACAAACTAGAGTGGTAAAAAAATAAAGTAGAAAGTATTGTAAAGTATGGGAGAGCATTCGAACAAAGAAGGATTTACATAACTCAGTTGAATATACGAAAGGAAGCCAAACACTTACCCATCTGATCCCTCCAACGGAATTGAGGTTTTCTCCTATTTTCACCAGCACTGCATCGAATACTTTCAGAGCTGGAGCTTTTCTGACAGATCTATTAATTTACTAAATTATTACATCCCATTGTCTGCAGCAAATATCCTCGAAGTTATACAGAGGATCATGAAAGTTCCGCAAAATTCTTAGCTGGAGGTCTTCCAAAGATCTCAACTCATTGTTGTGTCGTTTCCAAGCTTAATTACAGAAGATATTATGTTGAAGATGTCACATGTCGCTTCGTATCGAAAGGGCGGGAGAAAATAGAGAGAACTTTTGGCGATGTTTAACGTCAGATTACACAGCCGCAATAGCCGATTCGAAGCTTGAGTCGACAAGGATCCACAACTATAGGAATTACTTAAATAATAAACTAAGTTAATTTTTTTAATTGCAGTCGACCCTCGGTGGGGAACGTCGACCCGTCCGATTGAAGATTCATCTGAAAATGGTAATGGGATAATGGGAGAAGTATTGATCATATAACTGAGTGGTATTTGAGCGCATGCAAGAGATGGGTACCAGCAAAGGGAAAATAAACTGCATTCTACAATTTTTCTTCCTTAAAGAACAAAGGGAAATTCCTTCCGCTGAAAATGTGAATAATGCTCTAACAGTCAGTCAATCACAACTCGTGTTGCGCTGATTTTGTTCCAGTACTTTAGATGTTAGAGATGCTTCACGCCCCATTGCCGAAAAGGGGCGATTTCCCAGAAGCTAAAGGTTGCACAAAAACGACTTGAAAACGGAGATTGAATTTATATCTGCAAATCGTCGCTAAATCGTAACAAAACTGACTCATTTCTGCGGCGGCCATGCTGTAAGCGATCCACTTTTCATCATCAATAGGTCGATATCTTTCAGCAAAGGCAAACCATAAAGGTCGAGGTCGAAGGGCAGTGAGCTAGGATAAACAGTCTCAGAGGCAGGATCGATGGTCCGGATGGTTATGCTGTGTGTTTTGTGGCCTTACTGTCAGCATTTGGACCATCTGAAGGAACGATCGCCCAGCATTGGCCAACAATAGGGAATCGGTTTTCTTCAGGACTACATGATTTGATTGTTGAAGAATTGGCCGCGAGAGAAATTGAAAATAATGGCTTTAATGTGGATAGTGACTAGATGTTCCTCCACCGAGGTGAACGCCAGGACTCGACGACGGAATCTCTCTGCATTTCTATATAACGTATACCAAGTACATACCTAAGAGAGGTGGAATCGTGGGTTAAAACGATCAAAAGTAAGTTAATTGAACTGCAACGCTCCGAGTTATCTAAAAAAAGTTCCAGCTAAGGCCGGACAGAAAAAGAGCAGGTGTTCTATCGTCTCAATCAAACCTTCCTTCATGCACTTCCTACATGTGTCACTGCTCCTATTTCACATTCTATTTGCATAACATAACATATTAATTAAGGTTATTCAGAAATTGTCTAATCTGGCAAAAACTGGGAAGGAAAAAAGTTTTGACGCTTTGAGGAAAAGGGTAAATCGATATATTCTCGTTTCAAGGTCCTACGATTCGTTTGAGAGAAAAGTAATTTTTGCTGCTAAGCTTAATGCAATAGTTTTAATCAGAATAAAAAAATAAATTACATAAGAAATACTGCGTTTAGTCAAATGAACTGGACTGGAATGGCTTTAATGTTGCAATATTTGACTAACATACTTTTATCGATGATAACAACTGAAGCTTATATTTTGTATATGTATTCATCGTTAACATACATACACGTATGTACTTGTTAATAATAGGGATGAAAATATGGCAGACGATACCAGCATCGACTTTATGCACTAAAGCTTACGATAATTTAAAGGCAGAAAGCTTTATTGGAATGTAAATGAGCATTGAGCTTTTGTACACAATGGCCATGGAGCCGAAAAGTATACTCCGGGCCGATTCATGGGTGGCCTTGTCTAGCGCTCTCTCTCTCTCTCTTTCTCTCTCTCTCGCATCACGTTTTCTCTCTTATACATGTAATAATTGGCAACTCCTTTGTCAGCGAAGAGAGAGCTGTATGACACACAAACTCGGGTTTTTATACCGCTGTTTTCGTTTCCCATTGATATCCATGCTTGCCTTTCCAATTTAGCGCCATCTGCAATTGTGGCGCAGTCAGTGCCATTTGGGGCCATCAGCTAAGTAGCAGGGTAGTACGGTGTATCCTGCGACGCGCAGCCGTTCAACAAACCAAATAAAATAATATATATTTTCAAAAAATAAACTCCAAATAAGTGTGAATTTTCAAAAAACAATTCAAACCGTGATACACACATTTCCACGTTATTTCTGCTTTTCTACAAGTAAATCAAATTTTCAATAATCAATCGTACAATTGCAATCGAAACGAATCGAATAATCCTTGCACAAATACCGACTTGCACGGAGAATCGACAATTGAAAGAAAATACAAGTGTGAAAAATGTCTATGCACGCAGAAGTTAAGTGGACTCAAGTATCTCATTGCGTATAGATATTGAATGTTGAATATGGAATTTTTTCTATCGCCCAGGAATTGTGTACATTCTGGTTTTCATAATTGTGAAAAGAATTCTTATGAAACTCACAATTCAATCACTTATTTCTTAAGTGAATATTAAATTTGATAAATGTTGAAAAATGTAGCTTATAAATTTCTCATTAACAAATTACGAGTAATTCACATAAATAATATAAGTTATATAATTTGGAGCCAGTGAAAGTATAGACGTGAACGGCCTCATACTTAGTTCTCGCTTTTTTTATTTTCACTCGCAGTCATATTTCCGTCCTGGACTTATGTAAAACGTTCGGAGGCAGCCTGAAAATTGTCTAGTAAAAAACCAAAATTGTGTATGTGCGTGTGTACTAAATCGAAAATTTTAGTGCCTAACGAAATGCAAGCTTCAAAACTATGCTGAACTTGCACAGAAAGTGGAAAATATATTTAAATACATACATACTTATCAAATATTAATACCAAATGCGAGGATATATGAAATATGAAATAAAATAAAAACTGGTGCAATGAAATCAAGCTGATCAATTCAATAAGAAGAAAATATTGAAACTAAAATTATTTAAATCGAAAAAAATGATATCTTCCCCCATAACCTTTTTAATTATTCTTTGTTACATGCAACATCGACGACAACGACGACGTTGAATTATATAAAAATTTTGTGGATATACGGATTTTCATATTTAGGCGCAGTTCGTTTTGAGTTCGTTCGCAGTTCGCAGTTCGCAGTTAGCAGTTCGCTTCGATTTCGATTTGCTTCGTATTCTTCTTTCGGCTATACGTATAGCACAGAGCTTCGCAGTCGCCTTTCACTTTTCGCCTGATGGTAGTAGTTGCCTTTGTTAGGTTCGTCAGTTCTTTGGTGTTTCGCACGTCTTGTTCTTACCGTGAAAGTATCTCCGACTTACGAGTATATTGAATTCCTTTTGAAATGAGCTAAAATTTTTGGTATCGAATCACTAGAATTCCGTTTAGTGGCTTGTGGTACAGGGCAGTGCAATGGAATGAAGAAAGCTTGGCTGAATTTACTACAACAGCACGAGAAAGAAAGGCAATGTTAAGTAATCTCGCGTATCAATGCGAAGAAATCGTGTTCCTTTCCTGTGAATCAGATCGTAGTACGTGAAATTCAATTTAAATTTAACAGCATCGGTCCTAATAATTGAAGAGAAAAATACGCTCTCCCGTCAAATATGAGAGCAAATTACAGAAGTGTATCTAAAACAAATTGGAAATGAAATTGAAAATGAAAATGAAAATGAAAAAGTGTGTCGTGTCAAAGAGTACAAGCTACTGCTGCACTCAAACAAATAGTTCCGAAAATAATGTTTTCAACGCAAATTTAAAGAAAGACGTTTAATTGTTTTTCTCGTGCCCCTCAATGAATAATATTTTGTGAACATCTGACTTTTGAATGGTATCCAATGAGAGCGGAACCGCGCTAAGCCGTACTAGGCTTTATGGATGATTTATCATTACGATTTCACAGAAACGAAATGAAACCGTTCCAAGGGATTCTACCAAAAATAGAGTTTGTAAGCAGTGAATAGCTATGCAGTTTCAAGGTTAATCGTGTTCACAAGAGAACTAAATATGAGCATGGTATGTCTGCTTGAACTGTCTGTGAGAATGTGCCCTCTCTCTTTGAACATAACTTATTTCTTAATTGCCTGCACTTTCTAATTTTGGGCACTTATCATCGATCGACTATTATATATGTTTGTGTGCTTTTTTTTTAATGTCGTTGTTATTGCAACATATCACCGCCATCATATAGTGTTTAGCAGGTTGGAGCTTTTATCCGTGTAGCTACTCTCCATTGCAGCCGTTTGCACTGAAAACCTCGCTTTAACTAAATATTTGCCTGACAACGCTGCTAACGACGGTACGCTTACAAGTGCAAGTTTAACCAATAACAACGCTAAATGCTGTAAATGGAAAGCGTAAATAACAGTTTTGGCCGTAATTATCCTGCTAAAAAGAGGTATGATTTTATTTACATGCATACGTGTATATGAATTTGCACACATATACTATCTTATATGCACATATGTATGTATATGAATACACAATTATACACACATGTATGTATGTACTATGTACTATCTTTGCGATATACGAACATTTCCATCTCTACTGACTTATTTAAAAAGTGATTTCTATTCAAACCACATGAAACTGAAATGTAAATAATATCAAAAGGACTATTTATTTTACATCCTTATATAAGTACATTTATAAATTCGTGGTAGTTTTCACCCGACGTGTGACTACAAGCGGTTATTGGTATTAAAACAAGTAATATAAATAGGGGTACTACAGGGATACAAGTTTTCCCGGAGAAATCTCCCAATTGCAGGGCATGCACCTGGAATGACAGGTCTCTGGAAATAAAAATTTGCTGTTGCTCAGCGAACAGGTGAGGTATGTGTCGAGATCAGGTTGTCTACAGACACACTTTTTAGTTTTCTTTTTACATAATTTTTGTCCCATAATAACCAAATTTTTTGCCAAAGAGCATAATACAAAAAAAAAAACACTTTAATTTCAAAGTAAACTCATTGGAAGATTAGTTGGAAATTGCCGTAAAATTAAATTGCATTTACCAAATTCGATGCAAATCAAATAACGCTGCTGGTTCACATAATCGGATTCTAAAATTTGTTCTAAAATTTAAATAATTTTTACATATACGTAATTTGTAGAACATAGAAATGGCGACAATGTCCCCCTTTTCCATTTACTGGATCCGCCATGAGGAATGACATTATGCGGTTATGAAGTAGAAGAGTCAACAAATGAGCAAAAGTAGGAATACTAGGCAGCAATCAGACTGACTGAATGATGCTGCATGGTATTTTTGCAAGGGAATGGTTCAAAATCTATAAGTCATAGTCAGATGGGACTGAGGGAAAACATGCCCTTGTGGTTATGATCAATTAGAAGAATTTCTAACGAATGAGATGAATGACTTTTTTGCTAAAACACACTTCTAGCTATAATAATAGTGACTCCTAATTCTATATTGTCGTGAACCCCAAAGGCAATATTAATCTTCTATATACATACATAAAAAAGAAGACGAACTGTTTCGCAATATCGCGAAATATTATACCGCGTATATTTTGCATATAAGCGAGCAAAAATTCTTGCATAACTTTATGCTCTTGTAACTTGCCATTTGTGATTATTGCGTTCTGGCGTACTTGTGTATAGAATGTACTTCTTCACATATCTGTTCCTTTCAGCGGATACGCCGAAATTTCGATACGAGTATGTCATGATGCGAGTGCACCACTGAATCCTACATTGTCCCATAGCACCCCTTTTATTGTTCCTCATTTATGTTTGAAATTCTTTCTGAAGTTTTACAAATTCTTGGCCGCTGCACTAAAAATTAACAGTTAATAATGAAAAGGGTTTTGAAATAATCCAAAGAACCGATCGTGTGAGCACAACAGCATATACTCATGAAATTGATTAACTTTTTTCTGTGCTACCTGTTGAATGAAGTCCAATGTATTGGAAACAGGAGTGAGATGAGAATCGGGTGAGAATTTTCTTTCCCGATATATGTACATGTATATGTGTATATGTACTTCTAGTAAACATCACACAGCCCAAGGCTATCCTTCTCGCTGGACGGGGATGAGATTTTTTTCTTGACCATGGGTACACTTATGGGTACACTTACACTGACAGTTAGACTTTTTTGATGAAACATTAAATTTTTATAAACTATTTTTGAAACCAAAATTATTTCTTATTCTTTATTATTGGTAAAAATTTGGCTAGCATGATCAATATAATGAACTGTCCAATTATTTAAGGTCTCGCATCAATTATTGCCGCATCGTGACCACCTCCTATAATTTTAGTCTTTACTTACTTTCGCATTAAAATTTACCATTCAGTAAATTTTGTTACTATTTCGTATTCTGAGTTCACTTTCACCCTGTAAGTTTTGTTACCAGCGAAATAGGAGAAAACAAACAATCAGCTGTTCCATTTCGAGTTGTTAATTTGTGAAAAATAAAAAACCAAAATTTATACACATATTTTTCGTCTAGAATTAATAGAAGACGAGGAAAAATGTGCACGAGGACGCATGTTAAGAAGTTTGCGAGAAATAAATGACCCTATTAGTTTGCCATTCAGTATTTTCGCCAGAACAAAACAATTTATTTAGAGTTTGTAAACGAATTGGCACCCTATGACAATGAAGCAGATGTTCATTTTTATATGTAGTTTTTAAATCAAAATTTTTTTATACAGAAGACATCGTTGCCGTGTTATTTGAAGATTCTCTCAACAATATATTTCTTTTCCCACGGGTCGTATCAGGAATTTGTTAGGAGCAATTGTCTAACTGTAGTGAGCCAACCTTCTGTTTCGCGATCACTGCACTATATTTCATATTTTATTGTCGAAATAAAAGCCGTTAAAACTTGATTCACAACAGCAAATGAAATGCAAATATATATGAATACTCGTGCTTTCACTTTACCAACTGTCAAATGTAATTTGACATGGACGAAAAATGCAATTCTGCCAAAATTTCTTCAAACATTGTAACCAGTTCGCTAGAATACCAAAGTCAATTCCGGGTGCTAAAAAAAAATAACAAAATTCACTTTACCGGTAACAGTGAGAATAGGTCTGTATATGTTATATGTATATCAGGAGGGTTATGACTAGCGACTTTAACTTAAGTTCGTAAAGAGAGTACTTTGCATTTCAATAGCCTTCTCGCTCCATAGTAGCACCTGCTAATGATAAGTGGTTCGATTCCAAAGCGACTGTCAAAAATAAAATAAACTTTTCCTGTCATAGTACTCCTACCCACTCTCTTTGGAATTTTTTCTCATATACACAAACTTCTAAATATTGAGAAAAGGGGTGTCTAAATTAAAGCCTATAATGCAGTCCGAATCAACCTTCTTTATTACCTTTGCCCTCTAAAGTAAACTCGAAATCTAATAATATCTGTCAATATATTTTTCCGTCAGTATCTAATTTTATCTTTCAACTACACAAATAATTTGAAATTCACTTTCCATTATGTGTCATTATTCACAAAAAATATATATGTATGTATTTGTTTTATTGTCTTTTATCGTGAAAATAATTATAGGGCAATTGCAATGACTTTAACAAACACATATGCAGTATGCATCAATGTACATAAATGGAATCTTTCTCTTCCAGGTCAAATTTTGTCTCGAAGTAAAGATTTGGAAAACCACTGAAATTCAAAAATAACTCTGCGTCACCGGTTAATGTATGTATGTATGAACCAATTAAATATTCAAATTCATATGTAAAAGAACATAAGTAGAATTTGCGAAAGAGAGAAAGGAGAATTGCAACTATTAGCTCTACAATACTATCGCCAAATATATTAATAAAATATGATGGGGCCATGAGCCCATCATTATTTGAATTGAATTCGAGTCGCAAGCGCGTCTCAAGCGGGCCTGCACCATGCTAGCACCGCCGAACCCGAGGTCAATATGCGGCCAGGACCCGGGCTGGTCGTGATGGCGCTTGCGTTTATTTCGGGGGCTCGGCGTGGCAGCACCAGCACCAGCACCAGTTCAAAATCATCTTCATTATCAACTACCACATCAAAATCACCACCAGAGGATCTTCTCACCACTTCAACACCCTACAACGACCTTGAGCTACTATCGACTTCTCTCCTGTTTCCGACATATCTCGGTGGAGGTGGCGTGTCAACTTCAACTGATACAAATATATTGTCCAAGCAGCCTCAGCAAGAAACTGAAAGAGAAAATTTTAGAAAGGACGATTACATCAACACATACAACAGCTACTCTTATCCACCCCCATTTGTTCCACCAAGAGATAAAACAACCCACGACGATCAGCACTTACGGCTGGAAACACTCTCCGGGCTAAAGTCATCTTCACGTGCAACTAGACAAACGAGAATAATACGAAGCTTAAGCCGAGTCGAAAGAAATCAAAACGAAAACATAGACGGCGAAAGTGGCAACACTGATAGCACTATTGGCGATAACGTGAATAATCGGGATAGTGCTGCGGAAACTGAAAGTGGTAGTGGTGGGTATGAAAGCGATGATGGTACAACCAGCACAGAAGATAAGATTAGTGAGGGCAATACTCCCACCTTATCTAGAGTAAGCAAGAATTCCAAAGAATTTTCAGTAAAAGTCGCGTCTAATTCACCGGATGCATCTCAATCATTCGATGAGGATGACATATTAGCCTTGGTTGCAGAGGATGATCTTTTGTCAGAAGAGTCCTTTGATCGCCTTACGAAAATCACAGATGACAAAATTGGTTACGTTATTGTGGACGATTACGACGTTACAAACGAAGACACGACTACCGGTGCGAGTGAGAGCTCTATAGCTAGTGCTGCTGAAGAAACACATCAGCTACTGCAAAACGGAAAATACACAGCCAATGAAATAAAGGTTGACAGTGGAATTAGTAGCGGGGGAAACATTCACATTCAAAATGAACAAGAACATGAAAACGGAAAAGCTTACATAAAAGCAAACATTGATCCAAGCATAAATGGAAAGGTATACGTAGAAACTATCGAAAAGAGCCACGATAGTTCAGCTGTCCTTGCCGATCCTTTGTATGTGGCCGCCTTTAATGAGAATGGTTTGAGCCACACAGTTGATACGAACACTGCAAGCAGTGCACGAAATAATAAATGGTCGATATTCGATAGTGAGTCCCCATTAACTCGACTTAATCCGTGGATATCAGCCTGTGATCTTGCCCAACCTGGGACAGCACCAGATTTACAGGTAAGACTAACCCATCTCATTATGTACTTTGAATGAGCAACACCTATTGGTGTATATGATTACTCACTTGATTTCCTTTTTGCATAATTTTAAAAATATGAGTTCGGTTAACAACATTTTTAGTAATTCAAGTTCAGACTATCTTGGATTTTGATGAAAAAAACTGTCATTCTGAATACGGCATCGATTAACAGAATCGAAATAGCTCAAAAGATTTCCTGAAATATGCATTGCATTTACATTACATTTTGCTTAATTCGCGGTAAGATATTTGTTCTTACATCATCAGTAGCAGTGCGGACTATATTCAGTACATCCTTCCATAATATTTCACTTGGTTGTTTGTGTAAATTTCTATCTTCCTATGAGGTAACTGTTAGATGCGCTTTACCATCACTTTGTATGTGCTTTAATTTTCGCAAAACTTATTAATTCACCAACTGTAGAAACTTAATTCTAACCCATCTTCTTATTTGCCTTGCTTCTGTCGCGTCGCGCGGTTGCATTTATCGGTCACGAGTCAATATCGTATCGAGCTGTATTCAGGTGTTGTGACACTTGGGAAGACACCGAAATGTTCATATCAGCTATCTTCGTGAACATACATACATATGTATGTAAATAATCCTTCCTTAGATGACCTTATAACGCTGCAGTTGGCATTTTAAGGAAACCCATCACATTACATATCAAAGGCATTTATTTATTGAATCTGCTTAATTTAAGCCTAACAATAAGTTAGTTTTAGTCCATTCATATCAATGGAGTTCAAACAAAACAATGCTCTTCAAAATACTGGCAGATGCCTTCTACAGAGGCGAGTTCGACTTGCTGGTCAGGAAAAATCGTTTGCGAGGATTCGAGGGATTTTGCTGTTTCGACGGGTATTTTTGCCAGGAGTTTCTCACTTCTCTGTCGAACATTGGTATATCAAGGTCTCTATGTATATTTTCATTTGCACATATACCAAGGTGCGCCTGTAAGGTATTGATTGGAATCGCTTTATTTTATGGATACTAGTTGCGCAGGCAGTACCCCATAATTGTATTCCGTACACCCATGTTGACTTTGTGACAGAATTATATAGAAGGATTTTATGATTTAAGCATAAGCCTGAATTATTTTCTGTGGATGTCAAAGTGTTTAACTTCGCTTACTTGAGAGATCATTACGTCGTTTAGTTTCGGTATTGGGCGGTGTTCTCGGTGTTTCTGTCTGTGACATGCTTACACTCTTAGTCGTTCACTTTTATGAGCCAGTTTGACAGCCATCTTCCAACGAGTTTTAAGTGATTTTCTATTATGTTTGAGGCATTTGTTCGGCACTTACTCTGACATAAAATAACGGTATCATCTGCGAATGTCATATATTGCCAACGTCGGAATGTCTGCAGTAAATAACACTTCCAGTATTGGTACCAAAACGATGTCTTGAGGAACATCAGCCATGATTAGACACTCCTCGGAGATAGATTCCTTTACTTCAATTGTAAACCTTTGTCAGTAAGGTATGATATGAAGATTCGATGGAAATTTTTTGGCAAGGTCATTTTATTACATATATATTATATATATAAGTCCTTCTTGCCATACTTTATCGATTGCTTCAACCACATCAAGATATATTGCTGTGCAATATCTTTCAACTCAAATGCCTTCCTGATCTCATTGGTGATGCGATGGATTTGTTCTATAGTAATGTGTTTTTCGCGAAAACCAAATTGGTGGTTTGGTATAGTTTCGTATTCCTGGAGAAAAGGACATATCTTCGACTGTTTGAAAAAGTTTCTAAAAAAACGGGCAACAAGCTAATTTTCATTGATGAGGGCAGCGTTGCGTCTTTTCCGGGTTCGGCTATCACGATGATCTGCGACTTTTTCCACCCATTCGGAAAATATCCTTGAACTTGGAAGGCATTGAAAAGTTGCGACAAGAAATTGAAAGCAATTTTTGGTAGCTTTATTAGCATTTGTGGTGTTATATGGTCTTAATCAGTCGGTTATTTGATATTTAATGAGATCAGATGAGGTCGCATTCACGCTGGGAACAGTCCTAACCGCATAGTGGGACAAAAGTTGGAATCGTAAAATTATTCATTGTTGCGTTGGGTTGGAATACTTCGCTAAGGTGATTTGTAAAGCATTGTACCTTTTCTTATTCAGAACGGGCCCAAGGACCGGTTCTCTGTCGGAGCGGTCTCTCAGTTTCTACCGGTTACTTCAAAGTTCTTTTCCGCCTTCCATAGCGAATTCCTTTGTAAAGAATTCGGCGTCAAAATAGAGATAAATCTCTTTAGACGAATCTCTTCTTTACATTTTAAAGCTTACATTAGGCTTTCTCAGCAGCCTTTAGTTTTATTTTAGATGTAGGGGATCGACTAATCTGCCATTTCCGGCACAGTCTCCGCTCTTCTATTACCAGGCGCTCATTAGGCTGTTGGTGGTTCGATTTGTACTTTTTAAACTTTGTGTGGATTTTGGTGTTGCTACAGAGGCCGCTGTTGAGAGCAAACAATTGAATAACTTAAGGGGAGAACCTGGTTTCGAGCGCTGAAAATTGCATGATATTCGGCACAGTGTTTTAGGTTGCCTTACATATGAAATGTTTCAAGTACTTTTGGAATGGGTCATAGATACACAAATCTTGTAAACAAAATTTAATTTCACTTTATTTGATGCTGTTAAGCAATAACAATTCGCATTTGTTTGTGGCACTTCTCGCTCGAAGAGTCTATTTCGTGAAGACGATAGCGATCGTAGTTTTCATCTGAAACATAAAAACGAATACTTTTTTCGTAGCTTAGGAGTTGCTCTTCTATGTGAACCTAAGATATTTGAATAAATGTATAAAATTATTTATTTTATGACTGATTATAAAAAATTTTGCGTTTTTCTGAAGAAATTTTTAGATAATTTATTGAAAAGATATAATAAAAAAAAATTTGTTATTGTGATTTTTTAGGTTCACATAGAAGCCTACACTATTAGCTGTAAAAAAAGGTATCACTTATGAAGAAACCATTAGTAATTTGACTTTGAAATTTTGTGGAATATTTCTTAATATATTTCTAATCGAATGAGAGAAGTTTCAAAAAATCGATTTTTTTAACCCTCTAAACCAGGTTCCCCCTTAAGTTATTACAAATAACGCATACTCTAATGCATAACATGTGTATGTGTAAATATTTCCATTTAGTAAAATGTACATTTACTATACTAATGAAAATAAATAAATTGTATCGCCGAGTTTTATGTTTTTGTTGAGGTAACCACAATTAAATTACTCTTTCACTCTCAGATCTTTAACCTTGCTGGCGGATAAGGTAGAAGAAGGTCTAGAGAGCGCATTTCGTAAAATTAAGTCGATCACAATGAAATCCAAGTGGTAGGCAAGCAAACAAAGCTGCACAATTACTACTCGATTTTCACTTTTCCCCCTTGGACGAGCGCACAAAACACATTATTAAATATGCACATACACGTAAATATATGTAAATACATACTTACATAACTTACCAAAAGAATACTTATTTGTTACCTTATCTACTATAGTTATATACTTATATACATACTTATGTACACATGAATAAATGCATCAAGCACTGTGGCTGCTTTAAAAATATAACAATGAAAATTTAATCTCACTTTTGCGATGTGACATCGAAATGCGTTACCTTGAGAGCACCTTATGAGCCTCCGGCGAATATTTACATCCTTGAAAGCAATGATGAACATATTTTCCAATACCACACTTCTGTACCATGTCTTCCGGGAAGCAAATAGATAGACCTTACAGAACAAGAAACGACAATTACGTCTCCTGCATCCACATAATTTTAATGATCAAAATAAGAAATAATTCGAATCCCTTTTTATCCCAGAATAGCGCCACATCGCTTGAGAGGAAATAATTGCTTTACTTTATTAGATTAAGCTACTGGTTTATCGCTTGAGAGGAGGTTATGTCAAGTGAGATGACGAAAGTGGGAGGAAACTAACGGGTGAGCCACGATCATCACAATCAATTTTTTCGCTTTTTTAAACCAACTTTGAAGCCATTATGTACTAATTGAAAACAGTTTTAAAGATTCGAATTTTCTATTTTGTTTCGATTTCATTTTATCTCACACTACATTGAAGAATTCATACTACAAAAGTATTGAACATTTTTAGGCCTTCAGAGGTTAATGCGCATTTGAGCAGTTTGCAGTAGAAAAGAAATTGTTCTGCTTTGTCTATATCATCATCGAGACTAATCCAATATTTATTGCATTATTTTGTTACGCCAGCTTCAAAAACGCTAGTACCAGTCTAGTTTAATAGAAGGAAAGTTTTTCGTGCCACCATGCACTTTTACTTGTATACCCTTCTCCTCTATCCGACTGATCATTAGCAACGGCTCCATTTAGTGCTCTTCTAACTCCAAATCTGTGTTTAAGGGTTTGTAGCCACTGAAGTGATTTTCGGCCGGGCTCCTCCTGCAATTTGTGGCTTTGTGTCTTAATGTTTTTCCAACAAATGGAGGTGCCTACAGTTTAACTAAGCCGCCTCCGAACGGTTGATGGTTTTATTTTAAGAGGAGCCGTTATTTCATGTCCGAAATACACTAGAAGTCATGATTATGCGTAGTAAATAATCAGCAACATTCATATTGTTGTTGCCGTTATAGTTGAAAGAATTTTTCACATTTTCTTCAAACCGTGCTCATAAAATTACCTTCTTCGCATGCCATTTTGTGGCCAGGATGCAAAACACCTGTGTGATGACGACTCTTCTAGGAGCTTGTTACCCTTGGGTAGCAAAGCAAACAAATTTTTTATTTCGAAAAATGCCATTTTGAATGCACTCCCTGACTATGTGCAGAAGAAAATAATTCGGGACTCTGCAAGCAGTTCTGCATTGCCGATCGAACGTACTAACGTAGCTTTTCAATAAACCCCTACCTCCATTGCCCGATGGAATATGGTTTTCATTTCAACTACAATATATTTGTATAAAAAGC